ACCCTTCAGCCAATTTGCAATCCATCTGACTGTGTAGGCATCAATGCCACAGTTGCCTAGTTTTTAATGAGGATGGGGTGGTCGACAGTGTCAAAGGCCTTGCTGAAGTCCAGAAAGACTACATCCACGGCGACACCTGCATTCAATGCTTTTGTGACCTGATCGTAAAAGGCAATCAAGTTGGTCTGACATGACCTGCCCCTAATGAAATCGTGGTTGCCCTTGAGCATCATCCCTGATGCCGGCCCATCACAGATGTGCTCCTTGATGATCTTCTCAAAGAGTTTCCCCAGGACTGAGGTAAGACTGACGGGCCTATAGTTGCCCGGGTCCTCCCTCCTCCCTTTTTTAAAGATGGGGACCACATAGGCTATCTTCCAATCATCTGGGACCTGGCCCGAGCACCACGAGTGCTTGTAAAGCCGTGCCAAGGGAGCGGAACCTGGGCCAGGACAATATCCCCCTGCCCCGGCAGCAGACAGCTCCCGGCCCCAGCTCTGTGATTGGACCCAGGGGGTTGGGAAACAGCTGTGGGTTAGGGGCAGATCCCAGCCCCCTGCCCTGATCTCCTGGTGGAGCAGCTAGCAGTGAGCCCAAGGCTGGGCAGGGATTCCACATTCAGCATGGGGAAACCGGAAGCTGTCCCACCAGTGGGGCAGCTAGCAGTGACCCCCAAGCTGGGCAGAGATTCCCTGCCCAGCCAGAGGCTTGCTGCTCACCGCCTCACTGGTGGATCGGTGCAGGGGGTGGGACCTGCCCCTCTTCCAAGCCCCATGCCTCGATCAGCTGACTGGGGCATGGGGCTGGGAAAGAGCTGTGGGGCTGGGACCTGTCCCAGACTGGGCGGCGAACTCTCCACATGCAGGGAGTTCCTGGCCCTGGTTCTGCGATTGAAGCAGGGGCTGGGAAATTGATCCCTGCCCCCGGGAGCTGCCTACTGCTGGGGTGGGCTCCAATGGTGGAGCCCAGGCTGGGACAATGCCCCCCTGCCCCGGCAGCAAGGAGCTCCTGGCCCTGGCTCTGCAGTAACTACTCCGCAGTTAATTTGCCACCTGCATTTGCAAATAGCAAGTTAACCACGGAGTAGACCAAATGACTGCATAGTAAGCGTCTGCACATGTAGATGGTGATGCTTACTGCAGAGTAAATTGGTCTACCGTGCAGTAAAGCATCTCAAGTAGACACTCCCACTAAAGACATATCCCCAGCCCATAACCACTTGTGAAATACTGGGGCAAAAGGAGGCACAAACATAAATCATTCATCACTACCATTCAAATAATAATTTAACAAAACCACTTGCATGTTATTTTCTTGCACTTTATAAAAGAATCAGCATTCAGCCAATTCTAACCGAGGTGAGCCGGATATACAACTATCATTTTCCTTTTCTTCACTTATTTTCCAAATTTTAGAGTATTGCATCGTTACATGGTTATAACTACATAGGAAAGGTGTTACTCTTTTTTCTTTATTCTTGTGATTTTTAATTAGCCACTTGCCATACTTTATAGATTTCCTTTACTTGATATTATTTTTCAGAAAAACTTACCTCTGTTGTGGTCCTGATGTCAGCAGATGGGCTATATGTGCTGATATCCGGTGGAGCAGTACCAACACTACTTTTAACTGGAGAACTAGGAGGAGCAGGCCCTGCCACAGACTCCACGTAAATGGATGACTGATACAGAATACCTCTCTTCTGAATCTTATTCCAGACTTTACCCATGATATCTGCCAATTCATACAGCAGCTGGACCTAGAAGGAAAAAAAAATTAAAAATTGAGTTCTTCATAATTAGGTGTAGAAAAATCATCACAGTCATCAAACTCCTCTGCTGAGATTTGAACTACAGAACTCGAGATTTCACAATGCCTAGTGCCCTGATAAGCAACTGAATTGCTATAAAATGAATTTATGACACCTAGGGCATGTTAGTTTTGATAAGAGACTTGTTTGTCTAAATATACAGTAGAAAAATCAAACTACAATATGCAGCTCATAAAAATATCAGTCACAAACCTGGTCTTGGAAAATTTTCATTAGTTTTAACAATAAAAAGAAATAAATAATTTCTGGCTTATTTAACAAATAGAGATACTGACTGTCCTTTTAGTGGACTCCTACAAAAAGGAAAGTTTGCATACACAAGTATGAACATAATGAATTACATTGAATGTAAAGAGAAATTTCTTTTTTAAATCATATTAAAATGACAATTCCATGCAGTACATGAAACTGCTCTCTCTACGGAGAAAGAACATCCACTATCCAGCTCAATACTCTCCTGGGATATGTCATTCCAAAATTCAGAAAACATGCTGTTTAACTTGCACATTGTTTGACTCAGTTCTAAGATATTTACACAATCTTTTGTAAATAAGCATTAATCATGGAATTTGTATGACAACATATTGCCACATACTGTATAAAACAAGCCCAGGGAAAACTGCAAACAATATATAAGCAGACCCACAGCTGGATACCATACCCAGCTTGCCGTTATAAAAAATGAAAATTCTCATATTTATAAGAGGTTTCAGCCCCAGGACACATCCAGTCTATGAAACTGGCTTCTTATGTGGGTAGAACAGACGAAGGAAAACACTGTTGTCAATCTAGATTTGATATAAAACAGTACTTGATTTTGTGCGTGTGAGTGTGATGAATTCTCAAAGATCATGCTACAGTCTTTCCTTAAGAGGTGAAGTGCTGGAATTTTACAAAGACCTCCTTAATACATCTTGGTTTTTCTTTTGAAGTTTCAAGGCTTACAATGAGCAGGTCATATACTTTTGACACATGCTTTTCTGTTAAAGTGCATTAATATCTCAAATGTACTTTATATCTTCACGTGTAAAAAAGTAATAATCAACAATGATGGCCATTTTGTCTGCAGCAAATTTGTCTTAGTAATGCTTAAAGAATGCCTCGTGTCCCTCATACTTTGATATGCAGTGACATTCATTTTAATCACTGTAACCAATTTTTGTCATTAGATGATTTTATTTAAAAACTGTTACTTACAGATTTCACAGATGGCTTCTACATCCTTGTAGAAAAGCACTTTCAGAATGATTGACATGATAACGCTCTTCAGAATCTTATCTGACTGAATTGTATCTTGTTAACTGATACAGGTTATTCTACCAAAAGCCTTTCAGGGAAATTAATAGGACATTGGAACAGACCCAAACTGTACATCCATGTAACTCCCCACAGACCCCTGAGTTCCTGGCACCAATATCTTTGTTAGTCAAGTGACCTGTGGGTAATTTAAGCAACTGTGGCCCTGAGGAAGCAGAATTTTGACAGTTTTAGTACTCTGCTTAGTTATAAAGGCACAAGCAAAAACTGTGGAGGGATGCTGTTACTGATGCATACTTTCATGCATGATCACAAACCACCTACTGATGAAGTCTGTTACCAATGGTTCCCCCCAGCTGCAGAAATGATGCTTTAAAATACCCTTCATTAAGGCTAGTAATTCTGTTCAGTATTAGGAGAATATATGTATAAAAGTGTATATATAAAGTTTATATATAAAATGAATATAATTATTTATTTTTAATGGGGAAAGTATGTAATGCTATTTTTTCTGGTTATATCTAAATTTTTACAAGTGGAATAAAAATTTAACAAAGATGATGTTCTTCTTAGGGGACTAAAAACTGATGCATATATTGAGATGTTTTCTGATCTCCCAGCTGCAGGGGCACACCATGTAGCCCCGGGGTTGGGAGATCACAGCTGCACCCTGCAGCTCCCAGTGTCCCACAGCTACTGGTCACTGTGGGGGCTGAGAGGTCCCTCAGCTGCAGGACTCCCAGCCCTGGCTGGGCAAGATGCACACCTGCTACTGAGAGCCCGGTTAGCTGACAGGGCTCCCACCTGCAGGGAGGACCTGCTACACGTGCTAATTAAAGCTGGATAGCAACCAGCTATAAAGTTAGTACACATGTTTGAGATCTAACTTTATAGCTGGTTGGACCTGTTTATAGTGTGACAGGTACTTTGCATGTGTAGCTGGTCTCAGTTAAATTGTGCAATCGATCAGTTAATCACATAATAGCTGTAACATGTAGAGGGGGCCTTAGAAAAGTGCATTTTAATTGAGTTGGATTGGTTTATTTAAATCTCATACGGTAATATACTAATGATGTAAAGGTAAGATTAAAGTCTGTGTAAGTTTAGGGGGAAAAACCCAGAAATTACTAAACTACTGACTTTTCCCACTGAAAGCGTATCAATCAAATAGAGAAAAATGGTTCTCTTAGGATATGGACAGACATAGTTTAACAAAGTTTAGCAAAACCAATCCAACTGTTTAACCCTGATTCATTTAGGTTCAAAGTTAGGGCAATTTAGCTCACTTGTATTGCTAGACTCATGGACATGTAACAATTACAGTAACAGCTGATGCACCGTCCTGAGCAACAGCCCCTCCTTTCCTTTTAAAGTGGCTAAAGTGTATGTTTGTCTGTACCCTGAAGGCATTTAATGTATGGTTGCCAGCAAATAACACTATAACTGCTTTTATCAGGCAATTAAGATCTATTAGGTCTACAGTCTCTGAAGTTCAGAAATACATAAAAGACAGAAAAACATTCACTGTTAGCTTTCTACCTAAGGTGCAATTCTACCTAATTCAAGGAGAATTTCATAGAAAACTGTGAAATTAGAGAAGTTTAAGTTTTTATTTTTATTCTTATGCAATCTTGTGCTATGATTTATCACCTGTCTTCCAGTCCTCTTACCCTGGACCATCCACTCACTGCATGAATAATATGTAGCAAGTAAAGCAGGATGGACTGTTATTTAAGCCATGAAACTACAGACTTTTATAACATGAGTGAGCATATACCAGATGAGAACTTATTAATGCTTGATATAACTTCATTTGAGAGAGAGAGCGAGCGCATATTTAAATTCTAGTAGCTTTTTCTTTCAGTTATGAATTGTGACCATTTTTCTTTGTTCATAGTCAACCCTTTCATAGTGGAATTTTTAATGTAGTGTTTTGTACAGCGTCAAGCACACTTTCAGTGCCTTAGTCATGTACTTTCCAGAAGAACATACAATATTACCTTTAGTTTAATTAATAAATCTATGGTTATATATGCACTATTTTACAAACTTTCCATTCTGTTTTCCTGTATAATAAAGGATGTCACTGCTAGTTTGAAAAACATCCCATTTTAAGTTGGTGACTAGCTGTATGAGAATCTAACCAAAAATTGCATTAGGCTATTTCAGTATATGCATCCACAGTGACAGCATTTCAGCATTTAACAATAGTACATCTGCAACTGATTTATTTCCATCAGCCAAATGATGCATTTATACTCTAGCTATTACATTTTGAGAAGAGTTTAAATTACAAAACTTGAGAGAGCTTCAAAGCAAATCTTAATCTAAGCACCCTGATCTTGATGGCCCAGTTAAAAAAAAATTAAGATGTCTAATAGAAAAAGCTCTCCAACAAAATGCAGAACAATTGTACTTAAATCAAGTTATTTTTAATTTCCTTTCATAAATCAATTAAATGGACCAACCTGGGGGTTTGAGCATTTTATTTCAAGTGACTCAAGGTCGACGTGGAGGCAGACAACAAACGAGTGTCTATATTCTGACCCTGAAGCAACCAGTTTTTGTGAAGTGACAGCGAGTGTAGAAGTGCAGCCCATGGGTTCCACTAAATTAAGTGTCATTTGTTGTCCAAGAACAGTATATACACTGAAATGATGTAGGCTAATAGTCCAAGGGAAAGCATCTCCTAATGATTAAAAAAAAAAAAGAAACAAAAAAATAGTTAATACATGTTAGTTGCATTTTTTTTTCCCTCAAAGGGACAGAAATAGAAAGAGATCAAATAAATTCCTAACACAGTGGATCTCAAGTTCATGGAAGTCTTTACTGGGCAATGAATCGGGCCCCAAGCTCTAATAAAAGATCCTGTTAGACACTGTGCCTGAAGATTAACACTAAGGTTATTTTATAATTGAAATTCAATTTGAATTTTCAGCTCAGATCACAAAAAACCCTGGAAAACAAGACAAAAGAAAAATATATTTTGTTGATTTAGTTGATTTCTCAGAATTATACTTTTAAAATCCACCTGAATACATCACAACTAGGTAAATAAAGGTATGAAGAAATGTCCATTTAAAGTGACTTCAAAGGGGAGGAGGAGGTGCTGGGGGGCATATGTAATTTTACACCAGCTGTTACACTTCTAACCATTACCTCTGTATAAGCCTGTAGCCATTTAAGTGCAGCAAAACTCCCCGGCTCTAACCTTGCTTCATTCAGGGCCAAAGTTAGGTCACTTATATCACTACAGATTCATGCACATGTAAGTTCCAGTGTAGCAGCCAATGCAGTCCTGGAGTAGCAGCTTCTTCTTCCCCTTTTGAAGCCACTACAAAGGTACATTTGTCCATACCCTATATGTCTACGTTATACCGATTACAGTGAATGCTTCATATTGCCTTGCAACAAAGAATTTTTCTTAATTAAGAGACCAAACTGCACTTACAGTGCATATCAGATAAGTGCATATCACAGTGCTTATGGTATCCAGGTTGTAGCCATATTGGTGCAAATAGGTGACTTTACCATACCTTCAGCAATCCCGTGAAATATGAATTTTCATTTCTACCTAGGAGAACTTTTATAATCTTTACAATCTCTTACACCTGAAGAAGGGTGCCTGTGCCTGAAAGCTTGCCAATAACTATTTTTTTTTGCAAATATCTAGTTGGTCTAATAAAAGATATCACCTCTGCCACAAGTTTTGATTCCTTTCACAATGCTTATCCCATTTTATTGGTTGATTATTACATCAATTATCTGCACATCAGTTAAGAAAAGAAATGGCTTGTATGCAGGAACTCTTCAGACCCATAGTCTACATTTTAACATAACTGTCCTCTGACTATAATTTGTGACACTGATCAGGAGCCACCTGTTTCAAGGCTTATAAGGCAGTCCTGAACTATGTCCTCAATGTCAAGGCTACTCTTAGTGGTACAAGGGATCTGCAAAGCAAGATAATGAACCTTAATGAGGTGTGAAGAGTTTTGGGCTGTTGTTCCTATAGTTAATGAGCATTTTTCACACTGAGTTTGGGTAAGTATATACACTGGGTAACTCAGACTTTTTTCAATCTCAAGGCAATATATATTCATTTAAGTACTCTTCTTTTGAAGTAGTCCCACTGATTTTCAGTGTATGGGGAACAGAAACAGCCCCTTGGTCACATGCACACTATCATTCATGCAGTTTTTAATAACTAGTGTGGTAGTTGGGGCATGGTGAGGAATATATTTCAGAAAGACAAGTAAATACCAGCTATGATCTGGCAGGCAAGGCTCTTCTGGTACATGCAATACCTTTTATTAGATCAACTGAATAGCTGGAAAAAAGCTTATTGTAAGTTTTCGGGCGCAAGCACCATTTGTCAGGCATAGGGAGACTCTGCTGGTGTTGTATGTTCTCCAAGGTAGAAAAGAAGCTAATTTACAACAAGCATGCCTATGAAAATGCAAATGAGCGGGAAGTTAGGAAGACAATGGATAGAGATGGGGGGGAGGGGGGGAATGTGTGAAGGAAAGCAAGTGGTCATCTGCAGGCAGGTTACCTGGGATATCAGATGTCAGGAAGGTTGTAATGCGTCATAAATACAGTATCTATATTAAGCCCATGATTTTTTGTACACAGTAAATTTATGAAGTGAAGTTTGTAGGCTTGTCTATTAAAGGTGTTTTGTAAATTCCCTTTGAGGATTAGAACTAAGAGACCAGAGAGGGAGTGATTGTCTTGTGAAAAGTGGCAGGCAAGGTTCTTTGAGTAGATGTGGTATTTTTTATTCAACCAACTGAGTAGCTGGAAAAAAAGTTCTTAGCAAGCTTTTGGGAACAGTCACCCTTCTTCAGGCATAGGGAATCTCTGCTGGTCTGAGACTTGAAGCAATGAGAGAAGCTAAAAGCATGGCAGGATGTCAGGGAGATGTAAATAGGTAGAAATTAGAAAGACAAAAGGTAAGGAAGAAAGGGGAGGTGGAAGAAGGCAGGGGAACAAAAAGGGAGACATTACAGTGATAGAATACAAGGTAGAAAGGAGGCTATCTATGAAAAAGGGAATAGTTTGAATAAGGAAAACAGGAACGAGAGAAGTCAAAAGTGTGACAGGATGTCAGGGAAAATATAAATAGGTAGCGATTAGAAATTAGAAAAACCAAAGGTAAAGCAGGGAAGGTAGGGGGAAGAAAGCAGGGGGAAAAAGGCTAAAGGTAAACATACAGAGGCAGTAAGACAAGGTGAAAAAGAGGCATCAAGGAGAAAGGAAATATATGGAAACCATGAAGACAAAGGGCAAAAAAGTAGGGGAGGAGCAGGGAGGGCAGAAAAGGTGGGGTAGTCTCAGACCAGCAGAGACTTCCTATGCCTGAAGGGTGACTGTGCCTGAAAGCTTGCTAAGAACTTTTTTCCAAACTACTCAGTTCGTCTAATAAAAGATATCACGTCTACTCAAAGAACCTTGCCTGTCTATGCCCTTAGACTAACGTGGCTACAACCAAAAACCCAGCAACTTGTGAGAAGTGGGCACCCACAAGTAATGGGATATTTTTCTCTTGGATGGATTTTCCATGTGCGTTTATTCTGGTACGCAGTTGTTGTTTGGTTTCTCCTACATATTTTCCATCAGGGCATTTGGTGCACTGGATGAGATCTATTATATCACATCTCCCCAAAGACCCTTGCCTGCCTATGTCCTTAGACCAATACAGCTACAACCAACAACCCTGCAGCTATGATTTGGCATATACATTTGTATGCAATTGCATGTGGACTAGCTATTTATGCCTTCCAACAGAGCGTAAAGTAGCAATCTTCCTTTGGCAGAAGGCTAGTCAGGCCACCTAAGTCTTTCACTCTCCCATGTACCTTCAGGGGGGATGTTGCCCTCGCATCCTGCTGAGCAGGTCTGCGGACTCTGCCAAGAGTGGAGGGAGCCCCAACCCCTGCTTCCCCAGGGAGTCAAGCATGGGGCTTCACTGGTGCAAGTGTGGAAGCTGCAGGTGTGCAGCGCAAAGCCATCATGATAGAGGCAGCAGGGCAGGCTGTCCTTGCCCCCACATGCAACGCTGGCCAGAGCCATGCTCTGCTGGGCACTAGTGCCTGTGCCAGGCATGAGCTCCCTGAGCGTCCCCTATCTGCCACTGCTGCCAGCAGTGGGGGCTGTGCGACATGCAGGGGGAGTGTGGGGGAATCCCATACCCCACAAAACTATACCCAGCCCCTACAATCCCCACTGACCTATACACACACCCCAACATACCCTATTCCCCCACACAGCCACCCCCCCACATACATCACTACACACACACACACACTGCCCCATACCCCAGCCCTACACAATATAAAAGACTAAGACTTTATTTTGAGTTATTATGCAATCCTTTCTATATACAGTACACAGACACAAATCATGACAAATATTTTTTGTAATAAAATTAAAATAGGTTATAGTAGGTGTTTGACTTTTAGTGTACAATTTGTTTTTTTTTCTGGTTCTAAGATGACAATCCCCACTCCCAAAAGGAGCAGTTCTGGGGGCAGGGGGAGGGACTTCTGGTGGCAAAGGTCAGGGGTTAGGTGGCAGGACTTCTGGTCCCAATATGGTGACCAGGGGGGTGGGGCAACTGTGAAGGTGTGGGGCTACCTATGTGGTCCTTGCCAGCTCACCAAAACTCATTAAGTGGCCCTCCACCCAAAATAATTGCCCACCCCTGCCCTAGTAGCATATTAAGGTGGCTGCAACTTAGATACAACTAGTTCTCTCCATGTTGTCTATGGAGGAAGAGGAAAAGCAGAAGGCCCTTTAAAGCAGGCCTTTAAAAAGACAAAGGGAAATGCTTTTCAGTGAGGAAAACCTTTGACAGCTAAACTAGACAAAGATGAACAGATCTGGCTGTAGCAATCAGAGGAGGTGATCTGATGTGGGGTGGTGGGGAGGAGGGGAGAGCGAGCGAGAGAGAGAGAGAGAAATAAGGTCCAAGAAAGGGGCCAATAGTCTCAGAAAGACAAATGAACTAAATCTCACAGAATACTCAGCAGGGATGAAGAAACCTAGGCAGGGAATGGATTATATGCATTTTCTATTTACCAGTAACATGGAACCTTTATGTTTCATGGCTGGTAAAAAGAAAGAGGTGTGTTGGATTTAAAAATCCCTCTGGAAAGTCTGTCTCATTTGCATCAATTTTTGAATGTTCTTAAGGATTAATCTTTATACCAGAATGCCCAAGAGGGCTGAGCTCTAAGGAGGGTAAAGTCTTGAGGCACTGGTTTTGAAGCCTAGGGCAGTTGGATTCTGTGGTCCCACTTCCAAGGGGAAGAATTTATGCCCACTGAGATCACAGGAACAAATGGAGCACAAAAGCATACAGACCTAGTGTGTGCAAATCCAAACACAGCAGTTTGTTGAGTGTCAAACCAGTAGGAGCTTGACTATGTCTGTAACACTTTGGGGATTATCCTATTGGAGGAAGAGGCAACATGGTGAAGTGGATACAATGGTAGGAAGTCTACTACAGACATCCAAATCAGGAACAAGAACCGGACCATGAATTTGCTAGGGAACTGGCTGAGGCTGCACACTCTTGGTACATGGTTGTCGTGGGAGACTTCAACTACCCAGACATCTCATGGTAAAATAATTAGGGTATTATTGTAATTGTTTTTGTTTGTTTTTCCTTCCATGGCTATTACT